TGCTGCTATTGTTTGTCAGAGTTTCTTAATGTTGCTTGTGCAGTGGCCTGTTTTTGTTTACCACGTCTCTGAGGGAAAGACAAATGTAGACCCACTCCCGCCTTGATTAATGATCTAAAGTTAGGCCTGCTCAGTGTCTTGCAGGAGTACATGAGCCAAGAAATGAGCTATTAGCAGCCATAAACAAATTATGAATCCTTTTGTTTTGCCCACTGTCATTAGAGTATATTTGCGACATTCCTGTGGATTAAAAGCTGTATCTGATTTGTAATTTTACTCGTGACTCAGCCTGCGTTTTGTGTGCTCATTTCTTTTGCTGTTTAAACTTTTAATTTCTTAAACACAACAATTACTTCACCCACAAGTAAAGAAAGAACATTTCCTCCAAGTGCTATATTAAGACCCACTCAAAGAACAAACAATTGTAAATACTGCAATACACAAGCTGTCCCATTGTCTGCTCTGTATCCCTTAGCTTCCTGCAGTTTGACGATTTATACAAATTGGTCAAAGGAATCAACCACAGGTGTTTGGTCGCCCCACATTTCCTTGTGTGTTTTGGGATCGTAAAGATTTGAGATTGAGCTGAAGAGCAACCAGCAGTGGATTTCAAACTGTTTGAAATAAATTGTCGAGGCAGAAGCTATGCCCTTTGTGCCAGGCTCAGGCAGACATTGTCCAACACCTCTCACATGTTTGGGCTTTGGGCCCTGCTGTAGATTTAATCCGTAGCATGTGTACACACACACTGCTCAGAGGACCTGGAGTGTATACGCAGCAGGTTAGCCATAGATAGAAATTAAAGAGACATAGCAAACAGCTCAAATAAATGAATTTAAAACTGACTTCTTTTTAAAGGTAGGATCTGGAGGATTTTCAAACAAAACAAAATATAGACATATACAAATGAAATCCTGCTTAATCATCACCTATGGGCTTCTACTCTTGTGTGGTGGTGACTCTGTTTGCAGAGCTCCTGCCCTTTAACTGTATTTTGATGTTTTTGTGAGCTCGGACCGCTTCTGGGCGTGTCTGAGCGTGCACCAGCGCAAGCCTTGCCTGAACCTCTTCTGTGAAGCCTTCTTCCGTACCTCCGGGCTCCGTACACCCGGGAGAGTTGAGTCTGATAGGAGGGGCCGAATTTGACGACTATAAAAAATAATCAGTGACTATTTTAGTAGTCGACTAATCGGTTTGAGTCATTTTTCATAGAAAAGTACTATAAAAGTACCCCAAAATACTCTTATTGCAGCTTCTTACGTTCAAATATTGGCAGCTTTACACACTCTCCCATGACAGTGAACTAAAACCCTTTGGCGTGAGTACGAAACAAGACATTAGATGACATAATTTTGGGGTTTGGGAGAGACAGACCGACATTTTTCAACATTTTTACACATTTATTGATAAAATGATTAGTTGACTAATCGAAGAAATAATCAGCAGATTAGTCGACAATGAAAATAATCGTTAGTTGCAGCCCTGGTAACCAATGACAGGGTTCCTGTGGTGCAATGGTTGTGGAAAATCTTGTTTTCCAGGCCTGAAAAAGTCATGGTATTAGTAAAGATCATTGAAAGTTTTGGAAAAGTCAAAATTTGTTGTGCATAATGAAATTAATTGCTACAATAATTTTCCGGGGATAACCTTTCATACGTTGTAACATAACTGCAAGTGTATTTCTTGTAAGATAGCCGTTGACATAATGTAGCTTCAATATGCTGATTAGGGCACAATATATTGTTTAAGCATCAACATTGTGTTGCGCAATAGTCGCATTGCAGGAAGTGTAATGTCAAGTGAGACAAATCAACATAAACAACTTATTTGCTGCTTGATAAAAAAGGAAAACTCGCACTGTTCTCATATTCCATGACAAATATTGAGCAAGCCTTCCCCTTTAAGAAAGGTTACATGTATTATGTGACATAGTGCAGCGATGTTTGTTATGGCAAGTGAGACTCTGCTGTGTGCGTGTGTGTAGAAAAGTGCCAAAACCCAGCAGGCAAGTGCCGCAGACACAGAGAAGCGCGTGGTTTTGTGAAATGGAAACTTTATTATGGATCCTTAAAAAGTCATGGAAATTTTTTGTAGTTTTGACCATGAAAATTTGCAGGAACCCTGCAGTGAGATTCGATTATTTTAAAGAGTTTGTGAACTGCAACGAGAGAGCAATACTCTGTATTTAGCCTACCACTGAAGTATTTTCCTTTGTTACATAGCTTTGTTGGTCAGACATAATTAGCATTTTGAAAACATTTCGGCTCCGGAAAATAATGATGGATATTTCTCAGTATAATTAGCAGTTTTTACACCAGAAAAAAAAGACAATTTAGAATATTTTCTGAAATGAGTCAGTCAAAATGTGAGTCAGTCAAAAATAATCATTAGTTGCAGCTCCGCATTCCAGCCAGCTGTCGAGTGCTTTTGTAGCAGTTACAGATGCTTGGCAGTCACAGCTCTAGTCAGTGGTGAAGCTCAGTTGATTGTTCCCTATAGAGTCCCAGCTATCTGCCAAATCTAATGACACTGCTCCTCTCCTCAGCATACTGCTTACAGCTCCGGTCTTAAAATACCCTCGCTGCATTCTGTCATGCTTCCCGAGGGGACTACCATGGGTCAGAGATCCCACCTCGGGGAATCTCTTCACTGTTTGGAAATAGATTTGGTTTGCTGTGTTTACTGATGTGCAGGGGTGTAATGGAGGGGGGGATTTAAACTGCATTTATCCACCTCTCATATCTTAAAATTGTTTTAATGCAGATTTAATGCAGCACCAACAAGATTATTGTTAATTGTTCTTGTGCCAGTCTCATAAGAAATTGTAAGAGCAGGATGGGTGTATGTATTTGTTATATTGCTCAGCATTTCCTTTTGATTAATGAAATATTAATGCTGTTTTAGATTATTAGGGCTGGGCAGTACATTGTAATAAGAGATTTACTGACATTAAGTTTGCATGTTTTATAAGTCATCAGTGCCATATATGTACATTTGCACAATGTAGTTACATATTACACCTGCAGTGCAAAGGACTTTGCACTTTTAACCAAATGAGAATAGACTTTAATTCAGTAAAAGCCCATACTAACCATTTTTGTCGTTGCTAGAATGCTGGTTTAATGTAAGCAATGGCTGATGGTAACTTTTATGAAACTAACTTTGTCATATTTGCTGAAACTGTCACTGTATTTTTAAAGAAATACATGACACAGATAGTCTGTGAGAAAAAAAGAGTCCCTCCTGCCACTGCAAACTTCCAATCAGAGCCGAGGAATCTCTAATGCAGCTGTCAATCATGTCAGTCACTGTTTGTGTGCAGTCAAAGTGTCGAACTAGGCAGCCCTGATCAAATATGAATCAAGATCCTGTAACTGCGTTTCCTATTTCTTGCCTTAAATGCCTGGTTTGACAGTTTGATTGGAGTTCACGGGCAGTGATTGACATGATTGACAGCTGTGTTAGAGACTCCTTGGCTCTGACAGGTGTAGTGTAAAAGTTTGTGCCAACAAATCAAGCAGTAAGGTTAAGATGTATAAATTGATTAAGAAACTTATATGATCATGTTTTTATGTACAAGGCATTATAAAGCTCTTTAATCTGCATTTAAATATGGTAAAACATTGCTGTATGTGTAAAAGTACTCATAGCACCATAGCACCAGACTATGTAATCATGTAGTATGCACCTACTGAAAGAACACACTGTGTCTTGTTTAACGATGAAACACATACTCAAATGCTGTAATACATACACACATTCACAGATTGCACTCTAAAGGTTCACCTTGCATAAGACTGAGAGCACTGAGGACTGTATAGAAAAGTCCCCAAAATACACATGTTTTTTAAAAATAGAGTGAAAGCGAGACCAGATCTAAGGGAAGAAAACTTGGGAAATTCTAGGCTGCATTACACCATTAAAAATGGGCCCAATCAGAATTGGACACAAAGAAAGGTTCTCCACCAATAGAATTGGTCTTAAGAGGGAAAGATTAGCAAAAAGAGGCGGAGACTCATTTGAATCTCCACCAGCATATAAGCCGGGGTTCTGAGAGCAGGTTTTCAGTCACACTCCGGAGTCTGACTCGCTAAGTTGTATGTGTTAAAGCCTGTTGACACATTAAACTTGATTGCATCGGACTTTGCCTGTTTCCAGTGTTTCTTTAAGTATTTGCCAGCTGAGCCTAAGGTACCAAATCGACATCTGAGAACAACTGACAGGAGACAAGAGGTTCAAGGTCGGGAGCCTACAGGCCCACTTCCAGGCACCGATTTTTGACACTTCACAGGTTGCTTTCATTCATGTGTGGTAATGCCCTTAGAAGCGCTACAAGACAATAGAGTAGGCAGATGATCTGTCTCACTTGTTGCTGTGTGAGTATAGTGCCAGTTAAAGCACATACGATCCGTTTTTTTTTTTCTCTTCTAAGAGTTACCAACCGCAGCTTTTAAAGTGACTGACATTATCTTTCATAACTGTTTCTTCAGCTGAAAAAGCTTAACACTGTCATATATCTTGAAAACTAGAAACTGATATGATACTTTGCGTGTACTGAACAACTTGTGGGTTTACTATCAGCTTGTCTCTGTGGCTACCCAGCATTCCGGTTGCACACTGGTGTCATACTGTTTCCTCGCTCTTTATTTGTGCAAGCTATGATCGGCACACACATGATTCAGTGTTAGATGACTAAATATAGTTTGCTCTATATTTTGGCATGTGCGAACCTGTGGTACCTGCCCTCCTGGTGTGCTAGGGTTTGAGGTGCAACAGGATGTAGCAGGCTGTAGACAAACAGGATGTTTGCAAAGTGGTTAACTCTGCGTGATGCATCAACCAGATCTTCTTTTCATGATGGCTTATATTGTGTAACATTTTTGCAAATGTTTTGTCAGGACAGTTAAACTTGTAGATCTGAAGAACATACAGTATAATCATATTCAGCATTCTGCCTCCTTTTAAATGCACTTTTTTTAATATTTGAAACTTTCTTTCAGAGCTTGGGATGGCACAGCGAAAGTTTGCACAGTGCCTGGGCGAGTTTCAGTTTGAGTACATCGGCGATGCGAAGACTGATGATGAACGATGTATTGGTAAGTGTGGGTTTATCTCCTCACATGATGGAAACTAACCACTAATTTTGTTGCCACCACGCAGACACGCACTGTAAATGTTTGTTTATGGTTCTTTCTCCACCAGTCATTTAAGAGCAGCTTTTGGTGTGTGCACCTGTGGTGGGAACAGCTGTTAATCATCATGTTTTCAGGCTGTGTGTGCGTGTGCGTGTGTGTGCGTGTGCGAGAGTGTGTGTGAGTGTGTGTGTGTGTGTGTGTGTGTGTGTGTGTGTGTGTGTGTGTGTGTGTGAGAGGCAGACTGATTGCATTTATTACTGTGTTTGATTTTTTTTCCTCAGATGAGTCTTTGCAAGAGTTCTCCTCATTCCTCAAGAACCTCGAAGACCAAAGAGAGCTGATGGTGAGAACAACCAGTCAGAACCTGCTTAAAAGCCAGGGGAAATACCTGTGTGTCTGTGTGGTGTATTGTACTTGACTTGTTTAACTTTGTACAGTGCACCGTGTGCATTTCCAACCAGCCTACACCTTTCGCTGCCCATATTTGGTGCTTGCATCTATTAATGTCCGACTCTGTCATCCACCAGAGATCCAGACAGGCACTCATAATATAATTTTCTCCAACGTACAGTGTGGCCACAGCATCCAGCAGGCAGAGCAAACCAGCTCCCTAGTGGGTGGATACGTATTGATAGTGTTCACACAGTTCCTGCCCACGTGCCTGTCTAAGGGTCACTGCCACAGCACCTGCCTGGGAGTGGCTGTAGAGAGGATGGGATCCAATTTATTACAGCCAGGCTTTAAATACCAAGACAGATTCACATAAGCTACTACTGGCAGCAAGGTCCGCAACAATACAGCCCATTATGAGACACCACCATAAAACTATCTTCTGCATCAGGCTGCGTCGTTAAAGTTGCTCATATATAAACCACAAAAATCACACGTCTCATATAAAGGAAGTACAGAGGAAACACTCCTAGAGGAGGACAGCGGTTTATAAACTGCTATCCTCAAGTATTAAAAGTGTCACTCTACTACGCACAATTATATAATAAGACAGAGTTGTTAAAGTTATGTATTTTTTTATTGGGATTGATTTTGATTTTAGTTTTTGTTTTTATTTCAGTTTATTTTCCAGCGTGGGTGTGCTCGTTTCAGTTTATTTTTTATTGTTTAAAAATCTTTAGTTTTAGTTTTGCTTTTTTTAGTTTAAATATAGGTTTTAGTTTTAGTTTTTTTATTATTTTTACAGGGGGAATATATGTCAGGGGCAAGATTTAAGAAGTTAAAAATAGGTATTACAATACAAACACAACACTTTGTGAAGGCAGTTGATTCAAAGTCATGTAGACATCCCTGTCTGATTGAATGAATAACTTCATTTCAAACCAAAATAAATAAAAAACCACAATAAAAAAAACAAGATAACAGTGTCCGAAAAGGAGTAGGTAGAAGTTAAACTTACATGTCCCCACCCTTTTCTTACATTTCTTCTTTTACCCCATATATTATTTCAACAAATTCCCAAATATGTTTACAAATAATATACAACTATCCCCAGTCTATTTACCACCAATTAAATAAATAAGTAATAAACCCAGATTATTTACAGTCCAAGTACCAACAAGTGTTACAACATAAACATGCACTCCTCTAACACAGCTTTTCCTCATTTGTATATTTGCCAAAAATATATTTTTTTAAATTAATTTACACAATACACGGACTCCTCTTAGTTGCATGAAGACAGTGTTTTTTTAAAATTAAATTCTCCTCTTAAATTGTAACCCACTCCCCTGTCACAAAATATTTTTTTAATGTTGCCTGGAAGTAAATTATTCATCACTTTAAACATGATTATTGCAGTTCTAAATATGAGCAGGCTCAATAAACATGCACTAATGCCTCCTCTTGCTTCCTGTATTGACACATTTTTTTCTTGGATTTTTTTATAATTTTTTTTTAATTATTATTATTTTTTTTTTTGACAGCAGTTTACAAAGTAAAGCATAAATTATGATAAACAAAGTAATTTCTCCTGCTGTTCAAAATTTTCACAATTATTTTTATTATTTTTATTTTTTTTAGTTAGTTTTGTTGATACACAATATTTTTTCAGTTGGTAGTTGTTTTTTCTGAAGTCTAGTTCTTATCTTTATTCCTGTTAACCAAAGGGTTTTTTCCCCACATAGTTTTAGTTTTTAGTTTATTTTAAATGAACTATAATAACCTTGGTACAGAGATGATGCGCCATCTGGTCCTGTAGTTTGTTTGTGACCTCTGGATATTATACAATAGATATACTTGTCAAAGCTCCTCATTTGAAGACTTATTTTAATTTAAGCAGTAGGCTTCATGGCCAGTTTTTTAAAATACATTCACAATAAAAACATATTAAAAAAAAAATCCCTCTTCTTTGGACAGGGACGCATAACGTTCCGTCTGCGACTTTCTATTGAAGAGCCATTGAGTTGTAATGTCTGTCTGTAGTGTCTGAGGTCAGGGAGTGGGCCCATCATCAGTAGCTGACTGAGATGACTGTTTTAGCGCCTGGCTTAGACCATAATGGTAAACACTCAGCTTGGCTCAACGCTGCTCAGCACAGTGGGATGACATCACAGTGCAAAGTGAGGAAAAGGAGGAGGATGGGCATGCAGGCACAGACACGTCCTACAGCCAACATAGTAGAAGCACTGCAGGAATGAGGAAAAATACACTGACTTTATGAGCTCATTATTGGAAGACAGAGATACATTTAGAATAATAGTTATGTCATGTGAGTTATGTAATTTAGTACCAGCGGCCACTCTTCACTGGAGTCACTCAATACTGGAAAATGTTGTGTCATATGAAATGTCAATGGGGTTTGTCAGTGAGTTGAGCAGTAATGAAAGCCTTGTTGTGGCTTCTGTCTAGATGAGAAACATCACAGAAACCTTAATGAAACCTTTGGAGAAGTTCAGGAAAGACCATCTTGGTATAGTAAGGGTAACGTATGATGCTTTATTTCCTCTCCCTACTATGTGTAGCAGCTCTTAGTTGATCTGCCTGTATGCTTAGTGCACCCTAATGATTGTTAAAAAATCCATATCTTACAGCTGACTGCTAATGGCATATGAATTGCACTACACACACTGCACATGGCTTTGATTCCATTGTCCCAAGAATAATCTAGTATCTTGTTCTCCTTATGTTTCCGCTCCTTTCACTATACCCTCTGAAGGCGGAAAGAAAGAAGTATGAGAAAGAAACAGAGAAATACTACAGCTCCCTGGAAAAGCTTCTGAACATGTCAGCAAAGAAGAAAGAGCCACAGCTACAAGAGGTATTTATCCTCGCCTGAACTCCCCAACAGATATGTGACATGCAGAGTAGCAATTTGTGATGACAGCAAAATGGATGGAAAAGGGTATTTTGTTTGGGTTGAGATTCCCTGATTTGGGTTTTTTTTTCTGCCGTTGGTGTCGTGGGGGAAGAGCCTTTGCTGCAAAGCCTGTTGGACCATGTGAGTTTCCACTGACATGCCTCGCAGCAACAGTTTTCCTGGCTTGTTTGGAAAGGAAATGTGTGCTCACTTGTACTGTACAACCAAGGTCAAACCCGGTTGCTGCAGTTTGGGGGATGTGTTACAGTAGCGTGACATGGACATTTCAGATTGTGGAGAATTTAGCAACACTGAACAAGGTTTCTGTCTTCTTGGCTTTGCAATGCCATGTAGCCATTTAAGGCTTACCCATATGTTGTATACACCAACCAGAGAGGACACTTGAAGTTGTTGACATTATGACTGCAGGCTGTTCTGTTCTCTGCGATTCTTTTTGATACAAGGGTCTGTGGTACCAACACTGATTTCTATCAGACTTGAATAAATAGACCCACTGATTCCTTCACAGCCATAAGAGTCATGAGTCAACACTGCATCAGTTTTTTAAGCCCACTCAGTGAACAGTTGCATGTGTAATGAAAAGCAGCATGTGAGCTTAGATTTTACTCATTTCAAAGTTTACAAAATAAATGTTACTTATCAGTAGCTGACATTTAGTAGGCAATGATGTTAGTCAGTAATCTTACTGTATTAAAAAGATGTATCACGTGTCACGCTTAAAGATGCTTTATTTGTGTTACATTGCAAATGTTGGTTCACTAATGTATATATACTGTGTTTATAGTGTTACTATAGTGTTAGTTCTAGCTGTAATTCTGGGGCACACAGTGGTTAGTGTTGTCGCCTCACAGTAAAAAGGAAACAAATGTCCCCCGGCCGGCCGGCTGGCTGGCTGTGGCTTTTTTTCTTTATCTGTGTTTAAATTTCCCCTCTGGTTGCTCTGGTTCCTTCCCACTGTCCAAAAACATGCAGGTCGCTGTTTATTAATTAGAAACTCAAGCTGCCCATAGGTGTAAGTTTAAGTGGGTCATCTGTCTATACATGTAATCTCAGAAGAGGAATCCCTCCTCTGTTGTACTTCCTTAGGGTTTTGTTGTTAGTTTTTGTGTGTATTATTTTTTCCTTAGCTGAATTGACAGTGTAAAGAGGGTTGTATGTTGTTCGGATTTTACAGCCCTTTGAGTCAAACTTGTTATTTTGGGATATAAAAATTAACTTGAGTTGAAAATCATCAGTATTTGATGGAGCACTAACCAACGTCAGTATCCCCTGTGTAAGAATATGATGCCATATAAAGAAAAACCTCAAATTACACTGCATCAGAGGGATCAAAATGTTTCTGCTCTGTTTCCATGCGTCCGTCCGTCTCTATAATCATCAAGGTGTGTGTTCTCCACCTCCACAGGCAGACATCCAGGTGGAAACCATGAGGCAGCACTTTCAGGAGGAGTCACTGGACTATGTGTGCAAACTGCAGGAGATCCAAGAGAGAAAGAAGTTTGAGTGTGTGGAGCCGGTGAGTGACTCACCTCAGTGGCTTGGCAGCACTGACGTGGCATATTGGTCATATTAACAAAAGCAAAGGGCAATATAAGGTGTCACATGGGGTCAAGTGATGCGTGATGTTGTTATGAGTTTCTATTTCAGCTGCAGACTCTTTAGATTAACATCTCTGTGTCTTCCTGTGCTGTGGTCTTTTTAGATGCTGGCCTTCTTTCAGACCGTCTTCACCTTTTACCACCAGGGCTTTGAGCTCGCCAAGGACTTTGACCATTATAAAAGAGCACTGCAGATCAATATTCAGAATGTAAGAAGTATTAATGTTTGATTATTATATCTAAAATGTGGATAAGGATGATTCTTACCATCACAACATTTGTATATATACATTGTGTGTTCTTTTTCTCCCCAGTGAAAGTTCTCGGGAACATATTTTAGTGTACTCTTTAGCTCTAAAATGAGAAAGTTTGTGACCCGGCCACCATGTTATAAACAGTTGACGGAAGAACCAAGCACCGCCCACTGGCTGGGGCAAACTCTCTAATTTTACAGCTAAACAGTGCACTGAAATATGTTTGTGAAAACATTTGAGGTAAGAAATAGGCGATGCAGTAACAGAATCTTGGTCTATATTTGATCAGCACTGCCTAGTTTAAACGCAGCTTGACCGCAGTGCATGAGCTGTGATTGACATGGTTGACACCTGAGTTAGAGACTTCTCGGCTCAGACTGGTAGTCTTCATTCACGTCATAAGGCCAGTGTTACAAGGCAATAGAGTAGGCAGAGGAGAGTGACTTTTTTCCCCCACAGATTATCTGTCTCATTTATTGCTGTGTGAATATAGTGAAAGTGAAAATGTCTTCAGATGCAAGTCCAGTATTTAATTGCCTTTTTGTCTTGATTAGGCCACCCACTCCTGAGCAATATCTGGCTCTGCTCCATGTTTCACTTCTTGAGCCACTTGTTAACTTCATACCACTGTCAATTTGTTTTCTTATTCTGCAGTGCCATTCATTGCAGCCTTATCTCGGTTTCATTTTTAGTTTCATTTTTACCCCCTTTAGATAAAAGGGTTCCCAAGGGGAGCTCATAACTTTTGATTAGCAGTGACCTCTTGTTAGGAAGGTCATCCAACCTAACCCCTGAGCACCAGGAAGTGACTTCCTGGAACGTGTGTTTGCTTCCTCTCCCTCCCAGACAAGGAGTCGATTTGAGGGCGCGCGGTCGGAGGTGTACGAGCTGATGAAGAGGATAAGGGAGGCACCTCAAGAATACAGGCAGACCAGCCCTATCAGTTATGAAGGCTACCTCTATGTACAGGAAAAACGTAAGAGCTTTATATAGTTCAAATGTGTTTTTGATATGGGGTGTCATATTGCACCCATTCATAAGGCACACTGCTGCGAGGAAACGTAGTCGAGGCAAGAATGCATGACAAGCTCTCCATAAATACTCTGTCCAGTGTCATGGTCTAAAGGGCACTTTTATGGATTTCCTTCAACTCCTGTAAAAGTGTGTAAGAGGAGTAGTTTTGCCACATATTAAAACACGACTTGAGGGTTGTTCTCTGTACCTACTGTAGGTTGTCAGTGACATTATCTAAAGGGTTGTTGGACAGGAAAAGTATTCTCTTTCATTTCTATTATGAACAAAACATGGAGGATAAAATGCATATTTTAAGCAGCGGCAGCAGCAGTGATGCATTGTGATGCACCTGTGAAATGTTGCTGAGCTGACACATATAGTCAATGCAGACATCTTCTCTATACTATGACACTATGTTAAACATATGTGTCATGCCCTTGTTTCTGCAGGGCCACCTCCCTTTGGTTCAAGCTGGGTCAAGCGCTACTGCACATTTGTCAAAGAGCAAAAAATCCTGCACATGGTGACCTTCGACCACAGATCTGGTGGCAAGCAGGTGAGTAGTCATAGACCACATAGAATTGGGTTATTAAATGCCATGCTGTTTTTCTCTCTACCACTTTCACTGTGCAGTCTTTCACCTTTCAAAGTTTTGTTGTTGTTTTGTTTTCAGGGTGAAATGGAGTCTGTCACGCTCAAATCCTGCCTCCGCAAAACGACAGACATGTTGGACAGGAGGTTCTGCCTAGAGCTCGACATAACAGATCGGTACATCTTCACCTTACTCACGCTGTAATGATATTGTGTTTGTCGTCGCAGGTATCATTTTACATTATGTCACAAGTGACACAGTTACTTTTTTCCTGGATGACTCTTGCTGGAACACAATGTGAAATATTCTCCTGTGTCTTGTCCCATAGCAGCCACAGAGCACGTAGATTATCTACTGTGTTAGTCCACATTATCAGTTTTGCTAAAGATCTTAGCTCCACACACTTGCTGATTACAGTTTAGCTTGTTGCTCTATGTGTTTTTGGATCGCAGAGGGCAGGACAGCAGGATTTGTGTTGGAGGGCTGCCCTCACACAGTTAGCTGGGAGGATTTGTCACACCCTGCTGTGCACTCCTGTAATAGATATCACATTTTGTCACACAACTTAACTCTGCCCTGCCCTTTTTCTGTAGTATTAATAGAAGAGCAATACCCCAGATTTAGTATGGAAATTCGAGTCCAAACACCCATTCAGATTGGGATGAGTAACTTGATATCCATCTGGTCCTCACGTGACTGTAGATCTCATAAACCAGCTGGGATGACTAATAGTTGCTCATATTTGTAGTTACTACAAATCCAAGGTGCAAGTGTCCTTGGCAGAGGGTGTTTTTTCTTTTAATGATAGCTAAGCACACTTTTGTTTTTGATTTTATTCCCTTGTTTGCAACAACAGAGCAACTATACACACGCACATACACAAAATGGCATTCACAGTTGTCCACAGCCAATCTAGAGTGTAATTTGGTTTGAATAATAATTAGTTACGAAAGGGTACACAGTTTTAGCATGTTCATATATGTCAGAAATGGTTGTCATGTCCTTAAAATTTTTTCCTGTAGAGCCACCCAGCTTACACTTATTTTTTTCTAGTGTAAAAGACTCATAAGTTCTCCAGCCCACTGGACATGAGTGGGAGAGGGCTCCTGCTTCCACCCCATAAGTACAAGGCTTCTAGCAATTAAGGAAGCAAAAGCAATAGCATTTGAGTAATGTCTGGTTACAAAACACATTTGATGTTTCATATTGACACTGACATCCCCCTAATGCCTCGCTGCGCTGCACCTCTGAGGCTTCTCCTAATGCTGATGTGGTATGGCTCTCTTTCAGGCCAGGCACGGTGCTAACAGTACAGGCTCTGTCAGAGGATGACCACAAGTTTTGGATGCAGGCCATGGGTGGGAAGGAACCTGTGAGTCAGCCGCCTGTACTGTGTCATCATCTACCGCTCACACTTGGCTTATGTAGCCCCACTATATTCTGTTTAGCTGCCATCTTATAGAAAACCATCCTTTTTAGTTTAATATACTTCCAACATATATAT